AGTGTCATTGTTCTTTAGACTTTTGAAGGGAACTTGACAACCAAACCCATCAATGGGGCCATCTTCATCTTCAATCCACGCACAGGGCAGCTGTTCCTGAAGATCATCCACACATCTGTGTGGGCTGGACAGAAGCGATTGGGGCAGGTGAGCAAGTGAAAGGATACAGAGGCTGCAGAACTTGCTGCCTGATGCTCTAGCTGGGGAATACCATTTTTCTCTGTTGAATTCCTGAACTCTGTGATACCTCCTCGTTTGGCATGTGATCACATGATCACATTCTGGCTTTGTGTTTTCTGTAGGTTGAAGATCCTTTGGGGCAAGGCCATTTGATACTTTATTTTTTAAGTGCTTATTAGTAGGATCTTCTGTTCTAGTTGATTGAGGAAGGTTGAAACTGAATTTCCATTGTTTTTCTTTTGCCTTTCAGTTGGCTAAGTGGAAGACTGCCGAGGAAGTGGCCGCCCTGATCCGGTCCCTGCCTGTGGAAGAGCAGCCCAAGCAGATCATTGTCACCAGGAAGGGCATGCTGGACCCGCTGGAGGTAAAAAGGTGGACAGGGTAGCAGCAGGCAGGCCCAAGACCCCCAGATTGTGTGTAATTTTGGACTCAATGTGGTCATAGGTGCACCTGCTGGACTTCCCCAACATTGTCATCAAAGGATCCGAGCTCCAGCTCCCCTTCCAGGCCTGTCTCAAGGTGGAGAAGTTTGGGGATCTCATCCTTAAAGCCACCGAGCCTCAGATGGTCCTCTTCAACCTCTACGATGACTGGCTCAAGACCATCTCGTCATACACGGTAGGAAGCTACCCTGGGGTGTCTGTCACTGGGACCGTTGTTACGTTGATTCAAGGCAAATTCACAGAAAGAGGAAAGGGAGAGATTGATGTTCGTGCACTAGTTCACTTCCCACGTGACCACAGTGGCTGGAGTTAGTGCCAGGAATCAGAAGCTTCTGAGTCTTCCATGTGGTGCAGGGGTCCAGACACTTGGGCCACATTCCTCCCTGGAGCATTCTGGACTCAAATTGGAACCCACTACACCACAGCTGCAGCCCCATTTTTATTTTTCCACCTGTAAGTGGGCAAGAACTCAGCTGGCTTTAGAGGGTTTGAAATGAGGGTTTGAAATGAGTTCAGTTCAATAAAAAGTGTCTGAAAGGGTAGGATGGGGAAATTGACTGACTTCCCCGGCCCCTCCACACTACACACACCAACGTGTCCACGTTTCTTCGCAGGCTTTCTCCCGTCTCATCCTGATTCTGCGTGCTCTCCACGTGAACAACGATCGGGCAAAGGTGATCCTAAAGCCAGACAAGACTACAATTACGGAGCCCCACCACATCTGGCCCACCCTGACCGATGAGGAGTGGATCAAGGTGGAGGTGCAGCTCAAGGATCTTATCCTGGCTGACTACGGCAAGAAAAACAAGTGAGCAGCGGTGCTTGGGAGGCAGAGGCTCATCAAAGGTGGATGGGGGGCCCGTGATTGGGCTTCCTGATTCCTCAAGGAGTTGTCCTAGAGGCGAGCAGTGCTTCTTAACAGTATAGGAAGTCTCATGTCTCAGGGCTTCAGTCTGACTCCTGGCCACAGTTTCTCAGTAGAGGCATTTTAGTCATTTTGAGGAGGGCTTGCCCGTTCTATTCATAAATTAAAGGAAATTTTAACATCCATTCATAAGAGCATACACTTTCCCTGCCTCTCCCTGTTATTGTGGCAATCAAAAGTGTCTGTAGATTTCCAGGCTCCCTAGGCTAACTGATATTACAGTCTTGAATAAGCAGCAGTGTCTCAGGGCGCCAGGGGTTCTGTTGCTGAGAATGTCGTGTGCCAGGGCACATTTCCTGGATGTCGGATCACTGAAAGGTGCACTTTCTTAGGAGTACGGCTTGGGATGTGATAACGTAGAAGTGTGACTGCATCTCCATTTCACACTTCCTTTCGAAGCGCACTTGAGTGGCTGGGATGAGGATGAGCATGTTGTACCCAGTTCACACTCTTGCCACTGAAGCAAGCAAGGCCAGGGAAGGGATCCTTGTGTAACCCACACTGTCCCCCCACAGCGTGAACGTGGCATCGCTGACACAGTCAGAAATCCGAGACATCATCCTGGGCATGGAGATCTCGGCTCCCTCCCAGCAGCGGCAGCAGATAGCAGAGATAGAGAAGCAGACCAAGGAGCAGTCGCAGCTGACTGCCACCCAGACTCGCACCGTCAACAAGCATGGCGACGAGATCATCACCTCCACCACCAGTAACTATGAGACCCAGACCTTCTCGTCAAAGACCGAGTGGAGGGTCAGGTACTGCAAAGGACTAAAGGGACAGGGACGGGGAGACCCTGGTGCTACCTAGGGGTCTGAGATCCTGACACTCTGCTGTGTTTAGGGCCATCTCTGCTGCCAACCTACACCTGAGGACCAATCACATCTATGTTTCATCTGATGACATCAAGGAGACGGGGTACACCTACATCCTCCCCAAGAACGTGCTGAAGAAGTTCATCTGCATCTCCGACCTTCGGGCCCAAGTGAGTACACGTGTCCAGTGAGGCCACGATGGTGCCCAACACGTTACGTGCCTGAAACGTGGGTACCTGTGGTTTCCTGGAATTCAAGATGCTTTTCAGGGTCATGGACAAATAACTACAGGAGATAGACAAAATGGTGAGGTAAGGAAGGTGTTAGCCTCCACAAGATACCAAAGCCTATTGTAATAACACTGGTTTATTAAGAGGCTATAATATTGGGTTAGACGTGAAAAGAAAGAGCATACAATAATAAACAGATTCTTAAGCATTTAATAAGTGTAGCATATTGGATCTGAAATTAAGAAAGCCTTCTGATGCTGAAGCAGTTGGGAAAATGTTAAAAGCCTGCCTCATGCCATTTCCAAAAATAAAACCCACAGGCAAGCATTTACACGGCGGTCCCTGTCAGAGCCTGGGCTCGAGTGTTTGTGGACACTGGGGAGCATTTACCAGTGCAGATTCCTGGGTGCCCACCCGGGAGCTTCTGAGGTGATGAATCTGAGGTGAGGTCTGTGAGCAGCTTTTGAGCAAACACCTCAGCTGATTCTGCAGCTGGACGTTCTGCCTGCATTTTGTGAAACTCCCCACTTGTTCTTGACGAGAGGGAAGGAAACAGGGCTGACTTCCAGAACTCCCAAGTGCAACTGAGAGTAGTGTGGGTTCCTGACCCCCTTGTCTTCAGATTGCAGGATACCTGTATGGGGTGAGCCCGCCAGACAACCCCCAGGTGAAGGAGATCCGCTGCATCGTGATGGTACCACAGTGGGGTACCCACCAGACCGTACACCTGCCCAGCCAGCTGCCCCAGCACGAGTACCTCAAGGTGTGTGGTGGTGGCCTAACTCTGGGCTGTGGAGAACTGGGCATTGTGTGGGCAGAGAGCTGGAGGGAAGGCAGGCATATAACCCCATAGTCAGGGTTCTAGCTGCAGTCGGGATTCTGGACAGGCCTGCATTGCTGTTTCCCTGTAGGAGATGGAGCCCTTAGGATGGATCCACACTCAGCCCAATGAGTCCCCGCAGCTGTCACCCCAGGATGTCACCACCCATGCTAAGATCATGGCTGACAACCCATCCTGGGATGGTGAGAAGACCATTATCATCACCTGCAGGTGTGCTTGGGCCCCTGAAGGGCATGGGCAGGCTTTGTAGGCTGGGCCCAGAATAGTGGCCTGAGTTCTCTGTTCCCCTCTTCCCTTTCAGCTTCACACCAGGCTCATGCACGCTGACAGCCTATAAGCTCACCCCCAGTGGCTACGAGTGGGGCCGCCAGAACACAGACAAGGGCAACAACCCCAAGGGTTACCTCCCCTCGCACTACGAGAGGGTCCAGATGCTGCTGTCAGATCGCTTCCTCGGCTTCTTCATGGTCCCTGCTCAGTCCTCGTGGAACTACAACTTCATGGGTATGGGCTGTGTGTGTGGACGTTCAGTGAGCCTGGGGAAGCCTTGGTCGGGTTGGGGATGCGGTTGGGCCACCACCCTTAACGCATGGGACCCCAGCTGTGCGAGGCAGGGGACCCTTGTTCACACTCGGTGTTGCCCCCTCCCCTAGGTGTTCGGCACGACCCCAACATGAAGTATGAGTTGCAGCTGGCAAACCCCAAGGAGTTCTACCACGAGGTGCACAGACCCTCTCACTTCCTCAACTTTGCCCTCCTGCAGGAGGGTGAGGTGTACTCCGCCGACCGCGAGGACCTCTACGCCTGAGTGGGTCCTGGCTCCTGGCACTGGACCCTGCCGAGCCCCAGACAAGCTGGTGATATTCAGCAGCTTGGCCACCTTGCCCTGTATTTTGTGCTTGTTGTGTTGACCTCCTGGTAGCTTGTAACCCTGAACAAAACGATAATAATAAATTTTGTATAAATAGGAGTGTAGGACTGTATTTTTTCCTTTCTGAACTCCCACTGTGGGTGTGTGTGCTTGTGGCTGGAAGCTGGACTGGGGAAGTTATTAAAAGCTTGACTTGTGGCAGTGGGGCTGGGCAGCCCTCACCTGGAACTCAAGTGGGCTTGTGCCCCCCCATGTTCCCCTGGCTTCACACAGTCGCTCTTCTCAACATCTGTTGGAGCTTCTGCTGCCAGGTGCCAGGTCTGGGAGCGCCACCTGGTCAGGGGCTTCCCCTCCTGCTGGAGGGCCAGGCCTTGCCTCTCGGAAGTGTTCCTTGCCTAGCTGGGCTGGGGAAAGGCCATGCTAGCAGAGGGCTGTTGACTTTGAGTGGGGTCCAGTGACTCGCCTCTAACCTCTTGCCTGGAGTGCGTGCCTGGAGGCCAAATCTGCCCCATGACTTGGGCTGGGGTGGAGCTTGGACTGGGCACCGAGGGCAGGGCTTGACTGGAGTGACCACTTAGAGCCCTGGGCCTTAGCTCCTGGACGCCTGGCTGGCAACGGGCTGTCCTGTTTCCCATGACCTTGAAGGTTGAACCGGCACAGGGCCCAGGCCTCTCCGTAGGCACCATTTCCCCCAGCCTTTTCCCCTCGTTTGTACTTCCCTTTCTTCTTACCCGCCCCTTTCTACCCTGAACTGCTTCTTAAGCCAGAACTGTGGTGGTTTTCCTCTTCTCGGCTTGGGGGGGCTGGCGCGGATAGTAGCAGCCTTTGGGCCTCTGAGGGACATGGAGCCCAGAAAGGTGGTGCCAGGGGCACAAGGCTGGGGTCCCCGAGGGGCCACGGGGTCAGGGACAGCCGCGGAGCTTGTGTACCACCTAGCCGGGGCTCTGGGCACGGAGCTGCAGGAGCTGGCGCGCCGCTTCGGGCCGGAGGCAGCAGCCGGGCTGGTGCCCCTAGTAGTGCGAGCGCTGGAACTTCTCGAAAAAGCCGCCGTGGGGCCCACCCCGGACTCGGTGAGTCCCTTACCTCCTCCCCCTCCCCCATGGGCGGGTGGGGAATGACGTAACCCTGAGACCCCGGGCTCCCCAGCTGCAGGTGTCAGCTCAGCAGGCCGAACTGGAGCTGCGGCAGCTGCGGGAGGAGAACGAGCAGCTCCGCAGGGAGTTGCGTTCTGGGCCCCAGGGTGAGTGCAGACCCTGACCGGGGTGGGCAGGGGGGCTGGGGCCGCCGCTAGCAACACCCTTTCCTCAGAGGAGCGCGCGCTGCTGCGGCAGCTCAAGGAGGTGACCGACAGGCAGCGGGACGAGCTCCGGGCGCACAGCCGCGACCTGCAGCAGCGCAGCCTGGAGACCGAGGCCGTAAGGGCGGGGCGGCGGGCGCGGGGCGGGGCTCGGCGCTGACGTCAGCTCGCCAGCCCCGCCTCTCGCTCCGCCCGCCCCCCAGTTGCAGGAGCAGCTGCAGCGCCTCCTGCTGGTGAACGCCGAGTTGCGGCACAAGCTGGCCGCCGTGCAGACCCAGCTTCGGGCAGCGCAGGACCAGGAGAGGGAGCGTGAGGTGCAGCACCAAGACTCCCCAGAGCTGCAGAACCAGGGCCACACCGATGGAGAGCCCACGTGTGGGCCGCAGCCGGAGCCCGAGCACGCCATCCCGGACAGCCCGGTGAGTGCAGGAGGAAGCCAGAGGAGCCAGCCGGCACTCAGGGCGTCTGGCGCTTCAGGATACCCTGACAAGGTCGGCTGTGCTGTGTGATCCTGGACTGACTCCATTCTGAGTCTGAGAGCTCCTCTGGCACCTGTTGCAGTACCCTTAACTCCTTGCTAGACTCTTCCTCTTGCATCCCACGATGGCCCTGGTCTTGGGGTAGTGGGAAAGCCGGGACACCCTGATCCTTCCACAGGCTGCTGCCCCGCGGCAGGTGGGGCACCCCTCGGAGGCAGAACAGTGCGGCTTCAGCAGGCAGGAGCTTGAGCAGATTCTTCAGGAACGCAATGAGCTCAAAGCCAAGGTGTTCCTGCTCAAGGAGGAGCTGGCCTACTTCCAGCGGTGAGGGCCCCGATGAGCACATGTACCCGGAGACCACGAAGGACGCAGCCCCTGCCCTCGGGTAGCTGGACCCAAACGGGAGGAGGAGCAGCAATCGGCAGCCATCCTGGGAGAGGGGTGCTAGCTGGAATGAGCATTTCAGGGGTCCCCCAAGGGAACACAGTAGGCACGGGGCTCGGGCCAAGACGCGCAGTGAGCAGCCCCACCGCGTTCCTGACCCTGATTTGCAGGGAGCTGCTCGCAGACCACCGAGTCCCTGGGCTTCTGCTGGACGCCATGAAGGTGGCTGTCAGGAAGCAGCGGAAGAAGATCAAGGCCAAGATGCTGGGAACGCCAGAGGAAGCCGAGAGTAGGTAAGTACTTACCTCTCGTGCCGTCCTGCCAGTGACCTGGCCTGACTCCCGCAGGCAGCTGACTTTACCTGGCTGCCCCATTGAGCCCGTCTAGCCTCGTCTCACATACACACACATGTATGTATGTATTTGTTTAAAAGGCAGATTTATGAAGAGAAGGAGAAACAGAGAAAGAGAGCTTGTTCACCCTGGTTCACCCCTCGAATGGCCACAGTGCCCAGAGCTGAGCCAACCAGGAGCCAGGAGATTCTTCCAGGTCTCCCATGCAGGTGCAGGGTCCCAAGGCTTTGAGCCATCCTTGACTGCTTTCCCAGGTCACAAGCAGGGAGCTGGATGGGAAGTGGAGCAGTCAGGATGTGAACCGGCGCCCATACGGGATGCCTATGTCACAGGTGGAGACTTAGCTTGCTGTACCACAACGCCAGTCCTGCTTGGCCACATCTTGTACATGCTAGGTTGACCGGCTTCTCCCCAACCTCAGGCCTGCCACCCAGCCTGCACCCTTCTCTGTGCATACAGCTGCCCCACATTCGTCTTTCTGTTTTGTTCTTAGAGGCTGTCACTCCAGTATTGTCCAGACCCGTGAGAATGGCAGGCCTTGAGCCTCCTCAGGCGATCCTGCCTGTCGCAGGCACTTGGTGCAGCAAAGAGGCTGTTTAGGGCTCTCACATCCCATGTTTGGAGCCTGGGCTTCCATCCTGGCTCTGCTTGCTGATCCAGCCTCCCGCTAAGGCAGCAGGTTGATGGCTCAAGGATTTGGGGCCCTGCCACCCCTGTGGGAGACCCGGATTAACTGCGCTCTGGGTTCCCAGCTTTGGCCTGTTGCAAGTCAATTAGTGGAAGGAAGAGCTCTCTCTGTCTCCTGCCCTTTCAAGTAAAGCAGCAGCAAATAGCAGTGAAGGAAGAAAGAGGCCCCCACCTCCCCAGCAGTTCTGACAGGGCTGTAGTCACTGCTCCCCCACCCATCCTGGCGGCCCTGCCTCTCTGTCTGCAGTGATGATGAGGATGGCTCCTGGCTCCTGCTCTCCAGCAATAAGGAAGACCGGCCCCCTTCTCCTGAGTCCAGAATCCAAAGCTTGTATGTTGGGGGAGGGGCGGGCAGGAAGGGACATTGGGGAGGGCCCGGGGCTTCCCTGACCTGCTTCTGTAGCCCCCCGCCTCGCCCTCTGCACTGCCTGTTCTCTCTGAGCCTCTTCTCTTCACTCCCTGCTCCCAGCCCGGGGCCTTGACTGTCTTCCCAACTCAAAGAACCTCTTGGCTCTCCCCCAGCTTTAGTCCATGGTATCGGGGTGAAGCCGAGACTCCCAAACCTGAGACCAGCAGCACTGAAGAAGGAAGGACCCCACAGCCAGCTGCTGTGGAGCCTGGGGGGAGCCCCCCAGCTCCCAGCTCCTGACCAACCTCGTGACTTCGATGGCAGGCCTCTACTGTCCTGCAGGCCTGGTGGCTGACTGGGGGCAGATGTGGGCAGATGTGTGACTTCATGTGAGAGGAGGCCTCCACTTTTGCACCCTTTCTCAAACTCTCCCTTGATCCTGGCCTATACCAGGGCGTGACCGGGTACCTGGCCCGCCCTGCCAGCTGCCCCACCCACATAGGACACAGAACTGACTTCCTACCTCCCAGGGATTTTTCCAAATGGCCTTGAACGAATGGAATAAAGCCCTAACACCCAGAGATGGCTCCCTGTCTGTCTCTCAGTGGTCAGCTCCTTCCCAGAGCATTGAAAGCAGGAGGCAGGCTGAGATTTTGCCCAGGTCTCCTTGGTCAGTCCCTGGGTAGGGGCCTTTGCTTGGGAAGCCATGGCTCCACCCCCACCCATCTTTTGCCTCTTTCTGGCAGCCAGGGACCTGCTGCTCCTGGCCCCCTGTAGGCTGAGGCCAACCCCAGAAGCTCCAGCCATTGTCCCCCTCCGCCTTTCTTTCTATGCTCAAAGCTCAGGGCTTCCCCTAGCACCCGCCAGCCCGCCCTCCCGGGGAGGTGCCTCATGGCAGCCCGCCCAGCCGGCCTGGCTTCCTCAGGAAAAGCCTTGGGAGGAAGCTGGGGGGGGTTGCTGGGAGGTTGGGGGACCAGATCCACCCGAGCCCTCCCATTCCACTGGCCGCCATGGGGCTCAGGCTGCTGCTCCTATTGCTAGTGTTCCAGCTGTGGGGATCCCAGGGCTCCCCGCTGGACCCCAGTGGGCAGCATGTCTGTGTGGGCAGCAGGTGGGTGTGCGCGGGACAGGAGCAGGGTGGCGGTTTTCAGGGGAAGGAGGCAGGGAAGAGCTTGGTGGGCGGGGGGTGGGGCGGGTAGGGCATCTGGTGGGTGGCAGACAGTCAGGGTAGTTATCCAGAAAACCTTGGAGAAAGAAGAGGGAAGCTTAGGGACTAGGGACACGGGGTCTGCCCTTTGGTGGGGGAGCCCAGGCACGTCCCACATCTTGGCCAGGGACGGTGCTCTGCTTGGGGGAGCTAGGTTGCTCCCGCTGAGTCCTCTATGCCCTGCAGCCCCTCCGAGCTCCAGTGTTGCCCAGGCTGGAGGCAGAAGGACCATGAATGCACCATCCGTGAGTAGCCCAGGAGGAGGGGAGTCCCCAGCCCCTTCATCCCCTAGCCTGGAGACGATGTTTCCTTCCCTTCTCCCCCGCCCTGCTGTGCTGCCTTCCACACCTGAGCCCTGGAAGCGGGCTCCATCTTGAGGCACCCCTGGCTCTTGAGGGCCCTGGGAGCCAACAAGAGGTGGGCTGCCTGGTGGCGAGTGTTTGTCACCCTGACCCCGGTGGGGTGGGGGTGTTTTTCAGCTATCTGTGAGGGCCTGGACGCCTGCAAGGAAGGCGAAGTGTGTGTGAAGCCAGGCCTGTGTCGCTGCAAACCCGGATTCTTTGGGGCCCAGTGCAGCTCCCGTGAGTCTCAGCAATGGGGCCGAGCTGGGAGTGGGCCGGGTGGGGTGGGGGAAGGCAGGCTGAGCAGGCAGAGTCTAAGGAGAATTCCACTGAGGCTCAGAGACAGGAAGTGACTCCCTGCCCAGGAGGTGTCCTGAGTCACCTCCAAAGCCCTGCCTGCCTGAGCCCTTTACCCTCTGGGACAAGGCAGCTGTGACCCCTGACTACAAAGTGAGTTTCCTCCCCGCTGCTTACACACACGGAGGCAGGAAGAGGCCCCTGGTTGGTGGCAGGTGGATGAGAAGGGAGGCCCAGGCCAAACTGGAGATGTTGGGAGGGAATGTGTGGTCTCTACCATCTCGGTGGGTAGGTGGGCTGCACACAGGCCTCAGGGCAGAGTAAAGGCTTAGGGGGCTTAGGAGGAGCTCAGCTGGGAGCCAAGAGGGAAAAAGATAAAGTTGTGTCCCTTTTGGGTGACTTGATTGGGACTCTGTGAGTTTTCCAGAAATGGGAAGGGGGAGGCTGGTTCCACGGGAGGGTTTTTGTTGCTCAGAGACTGGGGCAGGAAATGAACTGTGCCCCAGGAGGCCAGACCTTCCCACAGTCTGTCCCCAGCTGCTGGAGGGCGGGCCCTGACTTTTCCATCCCTTACACCCCATAGGCTGCCCCAAGCAGTACTGGGGCCCCGACTGCCGTGAGAGCTGCCCCTGCCATATGCATGGCCAATGTGAGCCAGTCACCGGCAAGTGCCAGTGCCAACCCGACCACTGGGGGACCCACTGTGAGTTTCGGTGTACCTGCAGCTCCCACGGGCATTGCGACCCCGCCACAGGCGCGTGCCGCTGCGACCCTGGCTGGTGGTCCTCCACGTGTGGCCGACCATGCCAGTGCAACCCGGCAGCAGCGCGCTGTGAGCAGGCTAATGGCCTCTGTCTGTGTGAGCCGGGCTGGTGGGGTCGCCGCTGCAGCTTCCGCTGCTCCTGTCACGGCTCGCCCTGCGTGCAGGACACCGGCCGCTGCACCTGCCGGCCGGGCTGGTGGGGTCCCGAGTGCCGGCAGCGATGCGAGTGCCTGCGCGGCCACTGCAGCGCCACCTCGGGCCAGTGCACCTGCCCACCCGGCTTCCGAGGCACGCGCTGTGAGCTGCTCTGTCCCGCCGGCAGCTATGGCCTGCAGTGTCGTAACAGGTAAGCGGGAATGGGTGCCTGGGGAAGGTGCGTGGGCGAAGGAATGGGGTGAGGGAGAAGCAGGTTGAGGGGGAATGAGATGGTGGGGAGGGAAAAACACCGAAAGAGAATGCCGTGCACCAAGACTGCACAAGGCAGGGAGGGAAAAAAAAACACTTCGGGCGCCTCGGTCTGTTTACTCAGAACAACAGCAGCCCCGCACTAGTAAGCCAGGCAGGGGAGGAGACACGTGCCCAGGGGGAGGCAAGGTCCCGTTAAGACAGTGACTGGAAAACAGCTCCTGCACAGCTTGGTACAGATTCAGTTCCCCCACTGTTTTCCATTCGAGCTTGGCTAAAACAACAAGTGCAGAAGCCATGGTTGCTTGGAGCTAGTTGTACACACGGCATAATGCTCTTTACTTAAAAAAATAATAATAAGAAGAAGAAGGTGTAGTCAGGGTTAGCTGCATTGTCTTGTAGACCCCGCTAATGGGGCTGATTAGGTTTATAACGCTGTATAATCAGTGTCTGCGGGAGGAAGCTTCTAGTCTCTGTTCAGACACAGGGAGAAATTAAGATAAACTTGAGTCATAGTGGTAGAATCACACAGTTATCCTGTTCTTATACATTTTCATGTTCTGGGGTAGAAGATGCACAGCCAGGTTCTATTCATGCCTGGTGTGTAGGGGAGGGTAAAAGGTGGGGGGTGGATCGGAGCTGGGTGGAAGGAATGCAGGGCAGAGACCCAGCGAGGCTGTCCCGGGGGAGGGGCCTGCGGGAGAGGGATGAGACCCTGAGCTCCTCGTCCTGGGACCAGGGGAGACGGGGCCCGTGGACCCCACATCCCTTCCAGGGTCCTGGAGACCTCGGTGGGCAGTGCCCGCTGGGGCCATCCCCCCACAGCGCTCCTGTGACCACCCTCTCTTCATAGCTGCGGCCACTGCAAGCAGAAGGAGCCCTGCTCTCCAGACACGGGAGACTGTGAGTCGTGCGAACCTGGCTGGAACGGGACTCGGTGCCACCAGCCCTGCCCACCTGGCACCTTTGGCGAGGGCTGTAGGCAGCAGTGTCCCCACTGCCGGCTTGGGGAGGCCTGTCAGCCAGACAGTGGCCACTGCCAACACTGTGACCCTGGCTGGGCGGGGCCCAGGTAAGAGGGTTGCCTCAGTTTGGGGGGAGGTGTGTGAGTACACCCCACCTGCAGTCACTCGCTGGATGTGGGAGATTCCCTCCCAGCTCCTGTGCCTGGAGTCCTGCCTTCCTCCCCTCCAGAGCACACGGTCTTTTGCCGATTGGCTTTGACCACAGGTTCAAGACTCTGTTTGCACCTGCATGTCACTGGGGAAGAGTGACTCCTTGGTCACTTCCCAGAGGGAGCCTGGCCACCGTGCCCTCCCATCTGAGTGAGTCTCGCTTCCCTTCCCTGCCAGGTGTGACAAGCCCTGCCCAACTGGCACCTTTGGGGAGGGCTGCAGTTCTGCCTGTCCTCCCTGTGTCCAGGGAACCTGTGATGCTGTAACAGGGGACTGTGTCTGCAATGCTGGCTACTGGGGTCTCAGGTGAGGCCTGGGGCTTAGGGAACAGAGTACCCAGAGCCTAGGTCAGGCTACTATGCCATACATCATCTAAACTCCCCTTCCTGTGCCACCTCACCTCCCCAGTGCCCCCCAGTGACAGTGTTCCTGCTGTGTGGGCACTCTGGATAGGAGGAGCTAGTGAAAGAAGGGACTTCAAACCCACTATCTGCTCTGAGGTCTGGGGGATGGGGGAGTGGGTAATGTCACCAGTGTCTCTTATAGGGTTTCCTGGATAGCAGATAGTGTCAGAGGGAAGGGGCCTGCCCTAGCCCTCAAGGCCCTGCAGGCATCACCTGGGGTACCACTGGCATCTCACCAGGCTCCCATTAGGCAGGCAGGCAGTGGCGCACCTGCCACCAGGGTTGATCACAGGCCAGTCCCAGCTGGGCAATGGGTGTCCTCTTGGCACATGGGCATAGGGACTGAAAGTTCTCACAATGTGGCTCTGAAGATGGAGGGGTCTCCTTAGGGGTCATCTAGGGACAGCATGGCCCCACCCTCTCCTCTCTACCCGGCTCCAGCCTTCAGCCTGCCTCCCTGTTCTCCTGCAGCTGCAACGAGTCCTGCCCATCGGGCTTCCACGGACACAACTGTTCTCTTCCCTGTGAATGCCCAGAAGGACCCTGCCACCCTGTGTCTGGGGCCTGCCAGCCAGGTAAGGTAGAGGGCAGGTGAGGGCATGGCTGCACCAGGAGCTGTCCCTTGCTGGGGAGATCGGGCCCCCTTCAGAGGTGTCCCCCATGCCTGACTTCTCCCTACATGTCTTGGATCCCCTAAAGATATGACAGAGCTTCTTGCCCCTAAGAAATTGGGCTGGAGCCAGAAAACAGACAGGGCTGGTTCCTGGTGGTGTGACATGAGAATGGGGTGTAAGAGCTTGTGGAGGGGACCCTGCCCCAGCAGGAGGGGAGGAACAGCTGAGAGGGTACCAGGAGGACAGAGGTGACACACACACGCAGGATAAAGCCCAGGGAGGAGGTTGCCCAGAACTGAACACAGGCCATGTCAGAACTAGGCAGGCCCTGACCTTGATCCCTTGGCTCCCCTAGGCTCGCACAGTCAGGAGGCAGCCCTGCTGGCGGGCATCCTCGTGCCCCTGCTGCTGCTGCTCCTGGGCCTTGCCTGCTGCGCCTGCTGCTGCTGGGCTGCCCGGCTGGACCCCAAGGACAGGTGAGGACCGGCCTGCCACTCCCCAACCCCGACTCAGGCCAGTCAGATCACTCCACTCTCTCTGTGTGTACCTCTCTGCCTTTCAAGTGGATTAAAACACCCAGTCCCCCAGGTGGTGTGGCACGGCACATCATTCTTCCTGGCCAGAGCCGTTCTGTTCCCTGACAAACCTCTTCACACCTCTCAGCCCCTCTGAGGCAGAACAGGCAGAGATTTAGAACACCTGCTCGTGGGGTGCGAGGATTCCCCCCCTTTTTTTTAAGACTCATTTATTTATTTGAAAGAGTTACATAGACACATACAGAGATCTTCTGTCTGCTGGCAGACACTCCCCAAATGGCCACAATCACTGGAGCTGGACCAGGCCAAAGCCAGGAGCCAGGAGCTTCTTTCCAGTCTCCTGGGGTGGGGGGAGGCCCAAGCACTTGGCCCATCCTTTGTCGCTTTCCCATGTGTACTAGCAGGGAGCTGGATCAGAAGTGGGGCTGCCAGGATCCATGTAGGGCACTAGTACTGCAGGTGGCAGCATTACCTGCTATGTCACAGCGTTGGCCCCAGTGGGTATTCTATGCTCTTTGTCGCACGCTCTCATGTCACCTCAGCCACTTAGTTTGTGGGGCACCCACGGATGAGGCAGTCGCTGCTTCTCTGGGGTCTAGAGTTCTGGGGTGGGAGAATGGCTCCTCCCAGGACCCATGTGGCTATCAGAAGAACAGCAAGGAATAGAGCGTTCACTTGCAGCTGGAACAAGAGTAGGCTTCCAGGAGGAGGTGTTTCTCCCTGGGTGAGGTGGGGCTCAGTGTGATGGTGACCAGAAAGCTGTCTGGCATTGAACAGGCTCCCAGCGGAAGCTCTGGTGGGTAGGGCTGCTGCCCCCTTTGCAGCTGAGGCAGCCAAGGCCTGGTCTGAGCCAAAGCCTGGTTGAGAGCCACTTTGCATATGGCCGTCTGTACTCATGCCTGATGCTCTGTGGTTGGGGTTTCATTCTATAGTCACGGGTGAGGCTGCCCTGTTGCACTCTGCCAGGGTGACACAGGTCTTCCATCCTGCCCCCTCAGGCCAGTGGGTGACGGAGCGCTGTTGTCCAGGATGAAGCTGCAGGCCTGGGGGGCCCTGGCCAGCCTGGGAGCCCTGCTGCCTTGTGGCTCCCTCAGCAGTCACAAGCTGCCCTGGGTGACTGGTGAGTGGACCCAACCCGGGTGGGCAGAGGGGGTCTGGGTGGGGAGGGAGAGCCTGACCTGCTGCCCCCACAGTCTCGCACCACGACCCGGAGATCCCCTTCAACCACAGCTTCATCGAGCCGCCCTCTACTGGCTGGGTCTCCGATGACTCCTTTTCTTCTGATCCTGAGTCCGCTGGGGAAGAGGAAGAGGGTCCTGCCTACTGCGTGCCTCCACAAGAAGGTAGCCCCTCAATAGCCCACTTGTCCCTGTCCCCCCTCAAAATGTCTTCTGTTCCTTTAGCAAAAAAAAAAAAAAAATTAAAGATTTATTTATTTAAAAGGCACAGTTACAGGAGAGAGAGACAGAGAGGGATCTTCTACTCGCTGGCTCTCTCCCCAAATGGCCACAATGGCTAGAGCTAGGCCGGTCCAAAACTAGGAACCTCTTCCAGGTCTCCCACATGGGTCCAGAGGCCCAAGGACTTGGGGGCCATCCTATGCTGCTTTTCCAGGCCATTATCAGAGAGCTGGATCAGAAGCAGAGCAGCCAGGACTTGAACTGGTGCCCATGTGGGATGCCTGTGTTACAGATGGAGGCTTCATCTTCTATGCCACTGCGCCAGCCCCATCCCTTAGCACATTTTCCTTGAGTGCTCATTCTGTGCCAGGCACAGCTGGCAGCACATAATAGCCAGGTCCCTGTCCTCCCCAGGCTTCTGGTGTGAGAGGCAGCCAGGTGGGGTGGTGGGGACAAGTGACACCTGGGTCAATGGGGGACATCCAATGGATCAATGGAGAACCACGGGCTGGTCCTCCAGCCAAGTCAGGGAGAATGGCTGGGCTGGGCATATCAGGGTTGCGTCTGGTCCTATCAGTACAGGGTAGTGTTTCAGAGATGGGCATGGTAGTATGCCATTGAGAGTGCTGTGGTTAGAGCGTGGCAGATGTTCAGCGTAGGGAGGACAGAGGCAGCAACATGCCCTGGACCATCTCTCCTTCCCTCTGCCTTGCTTCCCTCCTCACTCTCATCCTCACCCAGTTTTGTTGAACTGCAGGTAGGGTGAGTTGGGGTGGCTGTCCCAGCTCCAGCCAGATTGTTGTGTCTCCTCTGCCAGCAGTGGTCCCAGGGACCCAACTGGACTCATCAGAGCTGGCCGGCAGCACCTTCCCTCCCCCTGAGGATGCCTCCACGCCATTTCCCATTCCGCGCACCTCCAGCCTGGCACGAGCCAAGCGGCCATCGGTCTCCTTTGCTGAGGGCACCAAGTTTACATCTCAGAGTCGCCAAAGCTCAGGGGAGCTCCCCAGCCCACTTCGAAAGCCCAAGAGGCTGTCCCGGGGTGCCCAGCCTGGTCTTGAAGGTCAGGAGGCAGAGGAGTCCCCAGTTTCAGGGCCAGCAGAAGCAGGCGAGGCCCCTTCCACTGCCGCCAGTGCTAGAGACCCGGCCACCAGCCGCCGTCGCCCCCCACTTGGTGGCCGGACAGTGGCTGAACGTGTGGAAGCTATTGAGGGCAACATCCAGGAGAACTCGGGCTCCGTGACCACCATCTACATGCTGGCAGGGACACCCCGCGGACCAGAAAGCCCTGTCCGGTCTGTCCTCCGCCGTTTTGGTAGTTTCCAGAAAGGCCAGGCAGAGCCCAAGGTGAAGAGTGCCATCCCTAAGCCTCCACGTCGGGCCCTGAGTCGAAACAAGGGCAGCCCTGCACCAGGCCCCAGTACTGAGCACACTGGGGCCACAGAGTCTGCAGGCATCAGGCCAGAGGAAGCGGTTAGAGGGCTGGGTGATGGCATTGAGAGTTCAGGGAGGGCCCAAGAGGCCCCTGGGGCTGGGCCCCCAGAGCAGGATCCCCTGAAGCAGGCTGCAGAGGTTGAGCAGGGGGAGTCTCCATATGAGAATGTTGTACCCATGGCTGTGCCGCTGGGGCTCTGAGCATCTTCACCCAGGGGAGTGGGAAGACTGGGTGTGGCAGGGGGCACCAGGCCCACCCATGCACAGACTGTGCTTTGTGATGAAAAAGAACCCAACGGTCAGGCCAGCCAGAGCCAGTGCCCTGGGCCAGGCTGAGGCGAGGGGCCAGCTGGCTGTGGCCAGGCAGAGGCCTCGCAGGACGGGCTCGGCAAACAGGGAGGGGACAACCTGGGCCCTGGTGGCTCTTACACTCTGTCTGCCCCCAAAGGATTGTGTTTTCCTTCATCTACGAAGCATTTTTTTTTTAATGGGAAACAATCTAAGGATTTCATGCAAAAAGACTGGGCTACTGAGTGGGAACAGTAATTAGTAGGGGAGCGGGTGCATGCCTTGTGGTTAACCCTGTTTTCTTAGTTCTTAGGATACATCGTTAGAATGTTACTGTTTTGTTAGACTTCATGATGGTTTTGTGAACTTAAAAAGTATGTACACTCATAAAAACGATTTGAGGGACAGCCTAAAGGCATGAAATCCCACTTTTCTCTGTTAGGAGAGATTGGGGTGTTATTTATTTTCTTGAGCTTTGCTACAGTTAGCAAATTTCCCTAGTGAGCATTCTTTTAAACTTTTCTCACTAGATTGAAATTTTAAAAACAAAGTATAAGAAAGCAACTTTCTTTGTTAAAAATGAAAAATGCTAACATGACAGAGCTGAAGAAAGTGAAGCTGGGACCATCCTCCCTGATGGGCCGCTTGGGACACCCCCCCCCCATGGGCCGCTTGGGGGCCAGAGCAAGGCTGAGCGAGTGCGTGGTGTTGGCTGTGGGTTCGACTCCAACATCATGTCATCATGTCAACCAACTGGGTCCCTGGAGCCTGGATCTGGGCAGCTACGAGTTGATGCTTCAAACCAGCACGATACATCCCTAGGCTGTGCCTTTGTTCTTAATATCCTGGAGAGCTTTCGATGTAGCAAATACTCACCCAATGCGACCTCTTGGTATAACAATGAACCACTTGGGACTTCATCTTGTGGAATAACACAGGTGATTTCAGCTGTCTTCCTGCCCATGGACAACTGGGTTATTTCTAATGGTTTGATATAATAAACAGTGATGTAGGACTTGGTCTGTGGTTCTTGTTGTACTTATGAGGTGATTTTTTCCCCCTAAAGAATAGATTCTTAGGAATGAAATTGTTAAGCTGTTGGGGGTAAGAACAGTAGACATTTCTGTACTTCCAATGTTTCCAAAAACAGTTGTGTGTTTCACCAGTTATGGGGCTATCCATTTGCCCACACCTAATCTGATAGGTTAAAGACAGCATCTCAGAGTGGGTGTTTGGTGTAGAGGTTAGAGTACCACTTGGAACACCTGTGTATTCCAATGTCCCTGTGTTGGAGCACCTGGCTCTGTGTTGTACCTAACAGTGAATGTCGGGACAGGAGGTGGGCCAAGTACCCACCAGTGAGCACAAGGTCTGCGTTTGGGAGGTGGCCTTACAGAGGAGTTTGGGGAACTCCTCCAGGATGCAGTTCCTGCTGGTGAGCACAATAACCAAGGCTGGGAGTAGCCCAGACCAGGCCAGGTTACAGTACCTGCTGGCATACTGGCAGTTATGAGAAGCAGGAGGGGTGCAGGATAGGATAGGCTGGATTGGGCCTCAAGGTCAACCAATTCACATTAAGGCTGGGACTGGGGGGCAGTCCAGGCTGGGCTCAGCTGCAGCACCCACCAGCAGGAGCTAGAACTGAGGGCAGGCTGGGTCAAACCAGGCTGCAGCACCTGCTGTCGGTGAGAGTCGAGCTGAGATGAGACATTGCCAGACTGGGTTGCAGCACCCACCAGCACACATGAGACCCCCCAGGGCGGGGGGCAAAACCTGAGCAGGGAGTCCCCTGCTGGGCCACTGTTCTAGTTGGTGAGCATAAGAGCTGGGACTTGGGGAAGACCAGGTTGGGCAGGGTTACAACACCTGTTGGCTTGCTTGTAAGCTGGGTTAGGATGAGAGCCAGGTATCCACTGGTGCATGTATGAGCCAGAGTTATTCCTGCACCCTGTCCTGGTCTGCTGGTTTGAGTCTAGGCTGCCTCACATCTGATCCTCTGTGCCTACTTAAGGTAACTGACTCTTCATCACTCTGCCTTTTCAAATTAAAAGGTATTTTTTAAGATTTATTTTTATCGCAAAGTCAGATATACAGAGAGGAGAAGAGACAGAGAGGAAGATCTTCCATCTGATGATTCACTCCCCAAGTGACTGTAATGGCCGGTGCTGCACCAATTCGAAGCCAGGAACCAGGAGCTTCTTCCAGGTCTCCTATATGGGTGCAGGGTCCCAAGGCTTTGGGCCATCCTCGATTGCTTTCCCAGGCCACAAGCAGGGAGCTGGATGGGAAGTGGAACTGCTGGGATTAGAACCAGTGCCCATATGGGATCCAAGCGCGTACAAGCCAAGGACTTTAGCCACTAGGCCACGGCGCACCAGGCTCTAAAAAGTATTTTTTTAAGTTAAAATCTTTGGAAAAATAAAAGTACTTTTTTAAAAGATCAAAAAATCTAAGTAAAATCCAAATTTTATTACATATCAAAAATTTCAACAAAATGGCAATTTTAATTTATGATTGTGTTACGGTGGTTTTTTTTTTCTTCTAACTTTTAAGTCTTTTTTTTTTTTTCATCTATAAGAGGGGAAGATCTTCAATACACTACTTTTTCTCCACAGGCAGGGCTGGGTCAGACCTAAGTCAGGAGCCTGGAATTCCCTCCAGGTCTCTTACACGCATGGCAGGGACCCAAGCACCTGGGTGCATTCACAGGAAGCCGATTGGAACACAAAGCAGTGGAACTCCCATGGGTTTGTGGTTGTCTAAACCCTCCCCTCCTTTTCATAGCTTTAGTAGCAATTTGTATTTTTCCTATGGAGTATCCAGTAATATCCAATTCGCCATGCAGATGTTCATCTTGTTCACATCAAGGATATTAATTCTTGGCGCATTCTGATCTTTTGTTCTATGGAAGGTTAACGTCCTGGTTTAGATGGTCTGTGTCTTCCATGACCTGTGTGTGCCAGGTGCTGCTTGTACGACGGTCTTCTCTACCTTAAGATCAATGAAACAATCCCACTTCCTTCTGCAGCTCCTCAGCGTCTCATGATTTCAACAGGGCTGGTATAGGGCATTGACACTCTGAGGAATAACGAACACAATGAATGAAAAACACTTCTTCCTTCAGACAGACCTGGGATACACTCTCAGTTCCACTTTGTTGATTGGTGACTTGGAAAAAGTTACTGAAAGTCCAGGGATAAGGCACATCTCCTGGGGTCCTTGTGGGGATGACGTGACACAAAGGGTGGCCGGTGGAAGCTCAATCCAGGTAAGACTTTCTCCCAGCTTTGAACTCTGTGATCTTTTTCACCTGCCCATGTTTTCCTTCCACAAACTCACCTTGATGGTTGGTGCTGACGTCTGTGCAAAGTCCAGACACAGCTCCTATCCACCTCCCCCCCCCCCGCCCCATTATGTTCATAGGAAGTGGGGCAAGGGAAGACAACAAATGAACAGGTAGTTACAGAACAATGAAAACAGTGCAAGGGCATGAGGGTATTTTGGGGGCATGCTTAAGGAAGATTCTCAAAGAAGGTGCTGCTTAAGAAACAGCTATGCCACACTGGGTTGACTATATCCACTGGTACATGCATGAGCTGAAGCACAGGCTAGTTGGGCTTTGCCGCAGCATCAGCTAGCAGGTCCTGTCAGTCTAGATTACAGAGCCACTTGAAAAGTGCAAGATCTAGGACTGGGAACAGGCCTCTGATGCTCCCACCAGTGAGCATAAGACCCAGGACTGCGGGTGGACCTGGCTGGACAGGCAGATGTACCCGTCAACATAAGTGTGGGCTGGACAGTGGGGTTGGTTGGGCTGCGCTAGGCTGCAGCAGCCATTGGTGTGTTTAAAAACTGAGTGCGATAGTGGGATGCGGAACAGACCAGACAAATATGCTGCATTCACTGCCATGCACAGGAACCAGGGAAGGAGGCAGGCCTGGCAGGGGTTATTGGGGGTCACTCCGATTGGACTGTAATTCCCCCTGGTGTATGTGAGAGCCGAGTGTGTGATAGGCAGGGTTGGGCTGGGCCACACCATCCACTGGTTTATGTAAGAGATGGGGGTGGGGACAGAACTGACTCAGCAACTGTAACCATCTTGTGTATGCAGGCTGATATGGGTGACAGACTGAGTTGGACTTGCTAGCACAGATGAGTTGGGTCTGGGGTCACCTCAGACGAGGTTTCTTTGGTTTTGAACTGCTGGATTCAGAGCTCTAGAACCATGGTGAGGATCACAGGATCTGTGATCTGACTGTGAAGTGCATGAGTCAGAACCGGGCCTCCTCGGTAGCTAAGACAGAGCAGTGAACAGCATGACCAGATGCACGTGGGGAATACGGCAGTTCCCCTGGGGCCTGCAGAGGACATCTAGTACCAAAGCAAAGGATGGAAGGCAGAACAAACTGGACAAGCACCCCAGCCAAGTGTTGATAACAAATATCTGCAATGGAGACTCTAAGGTGGACTATGTCAGCCAATGGACTTTGGAAGGATTTCCTCATTCTTGGAATAACACAATCAACAGAACTATCGAAACCACTGGAGCAGAATCCTTGGAGCATGCTCACCATCGGGGGCCTGGGATGACATCAGGTGGCTGTCCCTCATCCCTGGGTGCTTTAGTGGTTGGGATGCTGAGTGCAGCTTATTCCCTTCTCTCCCCACTTCCCCCAGATAAAGGAAGAAGAAAAAGGAACTTGGAGTCAACGGTCTCATCCATTTTCTTCCAATTCTTGACCCTTCCCACCTAATCAGTGGCCTACATGGGCATGCATCCTTCTCAACTACATAAACATCAGCAAAAATTAAAAAAGAAAAAAAGAAAGGGCTATGTTGGGACCAGAGCACAGCAGGTGCAGGGAGCACCCACAATCCTGTGACTGGCCCATCTGGGGATGGGAAGGAAGAGGGTGAGAGGATGAGCTTCTGTAGCCTGGGGAACTTGGATTTTATTTTTGCAGCACGTGGTCAAGAGTTCCAGAAGCATTTTTGCAGAGGTCACTTGTACTAAGGTCAGATTAGAATTGCCCACAGCTCCCTGGGATCAGGTGGGGATGCCTGGTCCCAGCCTTAGGGACAGAGCTGCACAGATTAGATAGTGTTTAGGAAATAGGGCTGATGGAGGTGGGGGAAGGAGGACCACAGCAGGTGCTCAAAGAAGGAACTGTTGGAAAGACAAAACTTCATACAGGACTTTGCCCACACAGTGGTGCTGAGAGAACAAGGAAACCAGTTTCCAGGGATAAAGTAGGCATGATGCTCGTAGAGAATATTGTTGAGGCGTGCAGCTACCTCAAGGAGGAGAGGGAAAGGCTTGCAGCTGTGGCAGGTGTAGCTGTGCAAGGGGGGGTTAGGTCCCGTCCGGGAGAGGCCGGCCTTACAGGGGGTTCACGGCGGCAGAGGGCGCCCTCGGCCTGGAGGACTCGGTCCAGCAGCTGAAGGAGGTGGCCGACTCAGGGTCTTGGGAGGTCGGCTGGGATCCTCCAACCAGGAGTCAGGGCTCATCCCGTGCCCCTGGCGACTGCAGCTCGGCTGGCTCGTCACCACACCGGCACGTCCCGCGCTGCCCCCAGACGCCGGGCTCGGGGGAACATAGGGTGCCCCTCACCGCGGGGCAGTGGGCAGGGGACGGCCGGCGCCGGCAGGGAGCACGAAGGAGACGCCGTCCTGGAAGGGACCGCTCCAGACTTCCAAGGGACACCTGCCAGGGGTTGGGCAGAAGGTCCCCCGCAGTGGGCATCGGCGCCGGGAGCCGGAGGGCCAGGGACCCAAACACGAACCGCGATGCAGCCGCAATGGAAGGACCTCGATAAAGGACCGAGCCGGAGCATCCAGGCGCCGTGCCCAAGGAGCAGGATTCGGCGGGACTCGGGGGCGGCTGTGGGGATGGTCGGCACGCCGGGTGCGAAGCTCCCGGAGCCCCCGGAGCCCCCGGCCCGGCTCAGCGCGGCCCCTCTACCCCACAGAACCCGAGGCCCGGCCGCAGCCGCCCCGGCCCCCCCAGCTCCCTTGTTTGTCTCCCAGTCCGGCCGGAACCGGCTTCTGCTCTCCGCGGGGCGGGCGGGGGGCTGCTGATTGGTCGGCGCCTGTTTCCAGCCCGCGCCCAGCCAATCAGCGGGCGGCAGTGTTTTCATCTTGGGGTCGGAATAAAAGGGCTGGAATAAAAGAGGGCAGAAAAGCCGACGGGCGGGCCCGTGACAGCCCGGGAGGAGCCGCCGGGTGAGCCGGGAGACCCGGGCAGCGAGGGCGCGGGGCTGCCGGGCCGCGGGAGGACGGCTCACCAGGAAGGGACCGAGCCCGGGCCGAGGAAGGCAGAGGGGGCTGGAGGGCTGGCCGCCGGCCTCCCGGGACACGGGCTAATTGCTGAGGTAACCGGCGGGGCCCGCGGGTGTCGCGGCTGGCTCGCGCCGCCGGTTTGAACCGGCTTCGCCTCACACATGCGGGCTTCGCGTGGCCGCAGCGCCTAGCGACCTAGGCAGCAGCCAATGGCCAGACAGTTCCTGTGCCGTTGGGCCAATGAGCGGGCCGTGGGCGGGCTATCCCGGTTCTCCGGGCGCTGATTCTGTGGTTGAAGGAACCAGCTCTGAGGAAGGGTCCTGCGCGCGGGCGGGCGGGAGTGGCTGTCGGGGTCCCTGAGAGTGGCCGCCCCCCAGGTAGGCCCCTGCCCAGGTGGCCGGACCTCCGGCCACCTTTCCTTCTGGCCCCTTCCAGAGATGTCAGTGCTCCCGGGGAAGTAGGAACAGGGTCCCCGAGAGCATGCATTCGCCCCTTCCAGTTCCCATGCCTCAGTGTCCCTGGGTGTGAGCAGGGACAGAAGGCTCCGTGCCAGGCCAGGGCGGTGCAGGCTAGGCGGCGCTGGGCAGCGCGGCCTGGAGCGATCGGGAAGAGGGGCCAAAGGCCCCGGGTGCCCTGCAGGGCTGCAGGTTGCAGCGTGCTCCTCCCGCACGGCCGCGTGGGCTGTGCAGGGCGGCGCTGACGCTGAGCTCTGCGAGCAGGTGGCTGCGGAGCCGGAGCTGGAGGCAGGCGGCCGCGCCACGCCACACCATGGCGCCCACCCTGGCCACTGCCCATCAGCGCCGCTGGTGGATGGCCTGCACCGCCGTGGTGGAAAACCTCCTCTTCTCGGCAGTCCTCCTGGGCTGGGGGTCGCTGCTCATCATGCTCAAGTCTGAAGGCTTCTACTCCTACCTGTGTACCGAGCCAGGTGAGGTGGGCTCCTCGGGGCTGACGGGCACTTGGGACAGGATGGGGGTGGAGGGTGGGATGGTGGCCGATACCGAGCCGAGAATATCGTGCCAGCCCTGCTGGGTGAATACAGAAACGGCTGCCGGCACTGGAGCTCTGCCTTCGCCCAGGACCGCCCTGCTGGGCCCGGTGCAGGGACTAAGACCCCCTCTGCACGTGCAGGTGCTCCTCCCGCCGCCCCTGCAGCCGAGCGGCCTCGTTTCCTCCAGAGCCTTGCAGTAAACACGTTGCTGGGTGACTGTGAGAAAGAGGAACCCTGAGTCAGGAGCTAGGGTGCAACAAACAGGAAGCGGGTGGCCGCCATCCTAAGCGGGTGGTGCCTCTAGATGCTAGAATCTTTGAAGCGGGGGACAGCGGAGGGGTCGGATGGGTGGGCGTGGAGCCTGCTGCGGGCTTGCCGGATGCACGGCTTGTCTGTGTTTGCTGCTTTTGTGAGTCTCCAAAGGCTGTTTCCTCTCACAGCATCTCGGGGGTCCTCAGGCCCCGCTGCGGGGAAGGGGGCCCGCGGTGTTAGGTGTGTCCTTGGCAGGTGTTGCTGGAGGCAGGCTCAGGATGCTGCTCATGCCCAGTCCCCACCCTGTGCACCCACCAGCAGGACCAAACCAGCGGACCGCTTCTCCCCCTTCTTAGCCAATGCCTTCCTGGGGGCCTCTCCCTGTCCTCACAGTGGTTGCCTGATCACCCTCCTCACACTTGGCTGCCCACCCTGAGCTGCTGGGTGCTTGTATTTTCTTTCTGTCTTGCCAGCAGAGCAGGTGGTGGGCCTGCGCAGCCAATTTCTCCCTGTGTCCATCTTCTTGCCAGGTGCCCAGGAGGTCTCAGAGGGGTGGGGTCGGGTGGGGGGAGTCCCCAGGGCAGGCCTGGAGGGAAAGGCTGGGGGGAGGAATGGGGAGCCATCAGAGAGGGCAGCATGGCAGTCCTTTATAACCAACCTTTAGCCTTTAACCACTGAAAAGCATTTCCTAATAGCCCAAGGGTTCTTGGCAGGCCTTCCCCCACATCAGCAAGAAACCCTGGGAGATGGGAGAGGCAGACCTTGGCCCCCAAACCAGCTTTCTGTTTTGCTCTGGAGATGTTCGGAGATTAATGACTCTCAGAGGGAACAGGTTGAGTGTTTACTTGTCCCTCTTAGTCTGTGCAGAGCTCCACAAACAGCACAACCGCCCCCCACCCCCAATTAGCAGCTAGAAGCCTCCAGGAGCCCGTCCAGACCTGACGGCTGCAGTGGCCAGATTTTATTTTATTTTATTTCATTTTATTTTGACTCAGGATGGAGTTGAGAAGGTCAGGTTCTAGGTGATGTTTTCCCCTCAGAATCCACTGGCTTAACTTAAGCAGCAGTGGTCACGCCCTGCCTAGTGCCAGCTTGGCTTTCTGCTTGTAAGAGGGGGGAGGGGTCATGATGGTGCCCACGTGCGTGCGTGCGTGCGGTGCCCACGCGGTGTTCGAGCCCCACACAGATCACTTGGGAACGCCAGAGTGAAGGTGAAGGGTCAGCAAGTGAGGGTTGATCATCAACTCCTTATCCCACGCTGCTCCTGTTCCCGCCTCTCCTTTTGGTTTTCCTGATTCTATCAGGTAAAGATGCTGAGCCAGCCTCCCTGGGAAGGCTGCTGAGTCCACACAACTTATCTCCCTGCTTCGTGGAGTACCTGGAACCTGTTGTGTCTTTGGGCCCGGACTCCCCTACCTGGGAGCGAGGGGCTGGGGGATGGCGGAACTGCAGCGAGGCAGCTAGGCTATGCACTGGACTACACTCACCGCAGGGATGCGGCGGCCGATTGAGACGCAGATCTCAGAGCTCTTGCCGGCTTTCTGGACAGTTGCTTGGGTTTGTTCAGTTTGTTCCATAAAGAACATTCCTGTGAACCTATTGAAAGGTTCTCTTTCTTGGGATTCTAGCCAGAATGCAGCCACTACCCCAGTGTTGGGGTGCACCTATGGAGGAGCAGGAGGAAAGCTGGGGTCCACAACTCTGGGGTCCCTCAGCTTGTTTTGCCTTTCCCTACCAGAATATTGGAGAGGGACAGGGGCTGAGGCCTGGCATTTGACAAGCTCTGGGTGATGCCCAGCAGGTGCTGGCTCTTGCACATGCACCTCTGGTGTGCAGAGGGGATGGACTGAACTCCCAACCTGTGTCCTTTTGGCCTCGAGGACAGCCACTGTGACCTCACACCCGACTCCTCTGTCACCAAGTGGGCCGCTGTGACGTTAGGAGGGATTATACTCCCTGGGCTTCTTGGTTCTTCCTCCAGCCTGCTGGACAGACTGGGCAGCGCAAACTAGGCCCTCTAGGTAGACCTCTGCCATCTCCAGGGGAGGTCCTGAGGGCAGGGTGCCAGGGGCCATGCCACAGGCAGTGGGGTGGGCTTGCCTCCCTGACATGTAGACAGAAGCCTGGAGCTGGTAGAGGGAGCGGGTGGGCAGAGAATCCCACGGAGACTTGTGGCCCTGGAGGTGCTGGCAGCGAGGATGGGGTGGAGGGGAACCCTGGAGGCAGAGGATGTGCATCCCCTGTTAAAGACTCAGTAGTTCTGGAGACTGGCCCCTTGCTGGTGGTGGGTGGGCCGCCCTGTGCGGGTGGCAGTCAGGGCCTCTGTCAGCCTCTCAGCCTTACGCTGAGCTGGAAGCTGGGGCAGAGGGACTGCCATCCCTGCACATGGACACTGCTAGGCCCTTCTTTCTGGGTACCCTCCACCCCAACAGGCTGGAGCTTGGCAGCATCACCGTCACGCTGCACGTGTCAGTTGGGAGCCTCTGAGGGCTCGTGCCTTTGGTCCTGGGGAGATGGCATGAGGAGCGTGGGGCCTCAGCTACCCCTCCTACCTCCTTCTTGGTTCATGGCCCGAGGTCCCTGCCCCCATCCCTTGGCCTCTTGGCTCTGCTGCCATCTTGGTGTCCTGTGTGGTTTAGGGTGGCCTTGGGGGACCTTGTGGTGAGATGCGGTGCTGGGGCAGCCCGGTTCTCACCAGGCAGTGCTGAAGCCACGGCACGATGTGGCAGCCCTTCAAAGCCCCTTCTGTGTGAAACGCGGCCTGCCTCCCATCATGCACCACCACTGCCACCTGCACACAGCCTGCTGGTCAGCTTCCCATGTACCATCTGTGAGTGGGGTGCCAGCCGCTCACCTGCTCCACCCCTCCTGTATGCTCACATGGATCGTGGTGTAGAGTGGGAGGGCACTAAGTGACACCAGAATCAACCTCCCACAGGCCCCCTGCCAACACTAGCTGGGCTGCTGTGCCCACACTGAGAACCTGGGCACTCCCAGAGTGTGTGTGTGTGTGTCTTGCCTCCTGTTTGCTATGTGTCTGCGCTGACCTCTCACCTACATCTTTCTTGCTGGCTTGAGATGCTGCTTCCTGTTGCCGGATAGACCAAGGATTTGAAAGACAGGGTGGGGTGGGGGGGCAGGTACCATCAGCAGGCCAGGCTGGGGAGGGGGGATCGCACACAGCCTGCAGAGGAGGGGACAGTTGGACAGAGGAGGGGGCTGCTTGCGACTCAGCCCCCCCCCCACTGGCTGTCCTAGACGCTCCCCACCCGCTTGGCTTCCCTGGGGCAAGGGAAGCCCCTGTTTGAGAGAGGGAGGCCCGGAGGAGCCAGAGCTGGCAGTACCTCCTTCTCGCCTGCTCTTTCTGTGAGGGCTTGTTTGGGAGCCTCCTGAAGCTGGGTGAACAGTGGGAAGCATTGTCCTTTCTCCCCCAGCCTGGGGCGCCCGAGCAGGCTGTTCTCAGCACACTCTGGCCGCCCAATTCCTCCTCTCAGGCCACCTTCCCCCGGGGCTGGGCTGGGCCGGGCCGGGCTGGGCTATCCTGGGTGCCTGCTGCGGAGGCATCTGTTTAATAAACAGGTGCAGGTGAGTAGCCAGGCGGGGGTTGGGGAGTAGGAGGGAGTGCTGAGTCCTAGGCCAGGAACAAGGGGTCCCCTGGTGGCTTGGCACTGCCTGGGTACACTTATCTGTTTGTTTCTCTCTTGCCCACACGGCCAGGTGGAGGCCTGTGTGGGACTGTTTGGGCATCAGTTAGGACAGTGTGTGTCCATGGGGCTATTTACTGCCAACACAGCTTTGGGGCCCAGCCAAGGGAGAGCTCGCTCCAGGAGCCAGGGCTCTCAGGTTGCTCCCTGGATATTCACCCCTGCCTCCCCCTTCGCTCAGTGCTGGGTTGTCTGCTCCTGGAAGTGAATGCCTACAGGTGGGAGCAGAGGGCTGCTGGCGGGGATTTGTCTAAGGTGGGAGGCGTGTGGGTCAGTCCCTGCTCCCGTGTGGAGTGGTTCTAGGGAGAATAAGGAAAGGGGAGGGTAGGACAGATCTCACCCAACTTGACCCTTGACCATGACCTTTCCTCGGAAGTCCCTCTTACTCTCCTCATCACCCACCCCCAGCCAGATGACAAAGGTGAAGTGATGGCTCAGCAGTGTAAGACCTTGCACCTCAGCCTCAGGGATGTCAGGGATACAGTGCCCTAACATTTCATCTGGTTTCATCCCGAGAAAAGGCAGGATTTGAGACTCTCTAGTGCTGGTTTCTCCCTGGAGGAACATGGCAGTGGCCCTGGTGGCTCCCACCACCCCTGTAGCCTCCCTGCTCTGCTCCTCGTCCATTCCCCAGCGGCAGGGTCTGCTTCAGCAATAGCTGGGTGTGCAGCCTGCATGCCCACACTCAAGTCCCACCTGCCGGCACTGCAGGGCCCAGGGCGCCCTTGCCACCTGACTCCCTGTGGCCTCTGTGCTGTGTGGCTCCTGTCTGCCCAGTGATCTAGAAATGGCTGTGTCTGTGTGGAGGCCCTGTCCCGCTCCTGGGATAGTTCCTGAGGCAGCAGGCAGAGTGGGCATCCAGCACTCACCTGGAGCTTTCCATGGCTTAGGCCTGCTCACCCAGGTGGTGCCTGGGATGTCCCACAATGCGTACTGGTGGGTACCAGTGACCCTGGACCACCCATGTGGTGGGGCCCCTTGAGGAAACCAGAGAAAGCAGTGGGGACAGGGGCCTGCCTGGCTGGGTCTTATTTCTCTGGCCGTGGGCAGTTACCCTGCGTGGATCTGCTTGTTTTTTCTTTTTCTGGGTGCTTTGGGCCAAGCTGATCTGGTTCCGTTGTTCTCATGTGTTTGTCAACAGCCTCTGGGGGCCAGGCCTGGGTGAGGTACAGGGACACAGACAGCTGTGACCAGGACACAGCCCTAGCTCTGCTGGACCCCAGCCCATGGGGAACCAGACCTGCACCACACACAGGTGTCCAGTGGCACATCCTGGCCTCGCTCTGCCGACACAGCACTGTTCCCCCAATCCAAGGACACCACCCCTCCTACAGCAGTAATAACAGCAGCGACTTTGAACTACTGTCTAGCCCTTTCCAGCTCTGTGTGAGCCCCAGAGTGTGACATGGACTTTCTCACCTCCAACTCTAGGAGGTAGATGTTACTACATCCATTTTACAGATAACGAAACTGAGAGTAAGCAAGAAGTCATTTTGCCAAGGTGATCCCTGAGGGAAGTGGAGGAAGCAGAGTTGAAACCAGAGGCCAGCTCCTGGCACTGCACTCTCCATCAGCATGCCTCCAGCAGGGCCTGTTGGGCAGAGGCTGGCACACGGAATGAATCACCCTGAGGGCATTCTTCCCAATGACCTTGGAACAGCAGGAGCAGCCTCGGCAAGCCTCCACAGACTTGAGCTTTACAGCCCTGGCGCCACACGGCTGCAATCACCAGGCAGGCCGTTATCAGGGGAGAAGCACTTCCTTGCCTAAGTCGCTTCTAATCAAAGTCTGTCGCTGCAGGATTAGTCAGCAGCTCTTAACTAGCAGCTGCAGCCAGCGAGAGGGCCTCAGCCAAACTCAGTCTCCCGCCCACGGCTGCCATAGAGCTTTTCCTGCCTATTTGGGTGGTTCTGGTGCTGGGTGAACTCCAAATGGGCCCTGAGGAGCTCCACTTACTTCCTGGGGCGGTGCCTGCCCAGCAGGTGTGGCAGCTCAGCACCCAGCATGGTCTAATGGGCGTGGTCACAGAGAACCTGGGGAGAGAAACTTAAGGAAGGGGCATTTCAACAGTTGAAAGCAAATAACTTTGAATGATTTTTTAAGAAACTGAAGGGTTCTGGGATGTAGCACAGCTGGCAGTTGCTACTACAGAAGCAGCAGGGGAGGGTGGCCAGTGGCTTGGTCTGGGGGAGGAGGCATGGAGGCCCCCACTGTGGTCTCCTTGCTGCCACTGAGGAGAGCCAGGACAGTGCAAGGAGGCCAGCAGTGTGGACGCAGCTGCCCAGAGTGTTATAGCTGGTCTGGGGTGCCGCAGTCAGGGTCCCCTGCGCCCAGCCAGGTATAGCACAGGGATCCCAACTTGGGGTGCAAGCAGGAGTGTAGCTTTCCTCGTGGGGTTCTCCAGAGGTTTGTGACCCCCACAAGAGCTAAGAATCTCTGCGCTGGGACTCCAGGGGACCTGGGCCAAAGCCTGCAGTGGGGCTGCCGGAGCCCTCAGGTACCCACAGGTGACTGAATGTGTTCCTTCCTTTGGGATTGCTGGGAGTCCCTTCTGTGATCCTGGGTCTGATTTCCCTCCCTGTGTATCCAGAGAACATCTCCATCTCCAATGCCACGGTGGAGGGCACCGCAGTGCCCGAGCACGAGGAGGTGAGCTGGGTGAACGGCTGGCTCAGCTGCAAGGCCCAGGACGAGATTCTAAATTTGGCCTTCACCGTGGGCTCCTTCCTGCTCAGTGCCATCACCTTGCCCCTGGGCATCGTCATGGACAAGTATGGACCAAGGAAGCTCAGGCTGCTGGGCAGGTCAGTGGGATTTCCTGGAGGTGGTGGTGGGGGCTGCGCAGCTGGATCCCTAATTGGATCCCTGTTGGAGAGCCTGGTTTCTGCCATCAGGTGTACTGTGGCACTCCTTAAATCTGCATTACGAGGAGGCAGGTCTTTGTCCTATCTGCCACCAAAGCAGTGGGTGGCACTGTGATGTAATAGGTTGTGTTGCTGCTTTGGCTTGGCCCAATCCTAGGCATTGTGACCATTTGGGCAGTGAACCAGTGGTTGGAAGCTCTCCCCTCAGAACTCTGCCTTTCAAATAAAGTCTTAAATATATGTGTGTGCGTGTGTGTGTGAGAGATAGACAGAAAGAAGCAAAGTGCCATAGAGATAGTGCATTCTCATATTCACTTCCCAGATCCTGTAGTGGCTGTAGTAAGGGCTGGGACAGAGCCAAAGGCAGGAGCTGGGAGCTGACTGGAGGCTTTCCGTGTGGGTGACAGGAACCCAAGCCCTTGAACTGCTTCTTGGGGATCTAGCAAGAAGCTGGAGTCAGGAGGCAGAACTTGGCATTGGACCATCTGCACTGGTGTCTTCCCTACTAGGCCAAGCACCCACCCCACTGTGTGCCATTGTTAACGTCCTGTGTGCTTTGGGGTATGAACATACTTCAAAGCTAGTGGGAAATCAAATCAAAGTTTGTTTTGGTTTAAAAATTTTGAAATCTGTGCATAGTCTTATTGGAGTGTGGAGTTTCCATGGATAGTTTGAAAACCCTCATCTCCCCCCCCACACAAATGGATTAAAATGGATGAGATGAAACAGTATGAACAAAGTTCCAGACGTGCAGCTCCTGGTGTGTGTGTGTGTGTGTGTGTGTGTGTGTGTGTGTGTGTGTGTGTGTATGCATGTCTGGTCTGTGCAGCTCCAGGTTGCCAGTCTGGCTCTCCCAGGCCAGGGGCCTCCCTGCCAGCCTTACAAGGCAGTGGTTTGCAATGGGGGAGGCCTGGAGGGAGTCAGCAGAGGGCCTGTCCATGCGTTTGTTGCAATAGAAAAGACGGTGACTCCTAGGACAAAATCAAGCAGAGGGTGGAGTTTGGGGATGTGCCATTCGACTTCCACTGCCTTCTGGGGCTCTATGTATGCCTCGCCGAGTGGGCACGGGATCCTGAGGCCTCAGACCCTTGGCCTGCTGCATTCCCGGGGAGCAGAGCAGCGCAACATTGTGTGTACAGGAGCTGTCTGTTGGGCTAGATTCCCAGTAAAGCTGCATGCTAAATAGGAAACCTAAGAGAGATGAGTTTTGTGTTTCTTTTTTTGAAAGGCAAGATGACACAGAGAGAGGGAGCAGCAGAGAAAGAGATTCTTTTATCACTCTTCACACAGCCCCAATAGCCCAGGCTGGAGCCAGGAGCCAGAACGCCACCTGGTCGCCTACCTGGGTGGCAGGGACCCAAGCACTTGAATTATCTTCTGTTGCTCTCCCAGGTGCCCTAGCAGAAAGCAGAATTGGAAATGAAGCAGCCAGGACTCAAACTGGCATTCACAGGGGTTCTGATGTTGCAGGCAGTAGCCTAACCTGCCATGCTACAATGCCAACCCTTTGTATTCGCTTTTTTTTTTTTTTTAGATTTATTTCTTTTTATTGGAAAGTCAGATTTACAGAGGGAAGGAGAGACAGAGCAGAAGATCTTCCATCCGATGGTCCACTCCTCAAGTAGCTGCAATGGTCAGAGCTGAGCTGATCCAAAGCCTGGAGCCAGGACCTTCCACGTGGGTGCAGGGTCCGTCCTTAGGCTGTCCTCTGCTGCTTTCCCAGGCCACAAGCATGGAGCTGGATGGAAAGCAGAGCAGCTGGGATCCGAACTGGTGCCTATGTGGGATCCCGGTGTATGCAAAGCGAGGACTTAAGCCACTAGGCTACCGTACCGGGCCTTGTATATACTTTTTAAAAATGAGATTTATTTCATCATCAGAAAAAGAGAGCCAGTTACTCTCCTTAGAACTGTTAAACTGTAATGTTCTTGAAGCTTCTGATACATGCTAATTACCCTGCAGTGTTAGCAGCAGTAGTGAGATCCAGTGATGTGACGCAGTTTTTAATGTGGCCCCTGCTTGGTTTTAGCGCCTGCTTTGCAGTCTCCTGCTTGCTGATTGCGTATGGAGCCAGTAACCCAGACTGTAAGTATGCTTCTTCCTCCTCCGGGCAGGGCTGGGGAGAGGGCACCCAGAGGGGCTCCCAGACACATCTGTTCCTGGATACTGCTCTATTTGAAGGGGCCCCTGTTAGGTCTTTACTCATTTGCCTGTCTCAGGTGAGTGTCTGGTTCTGAGAGCTATTGCCCTCAACAGAAGTTTGAGGAGAGTCCCCACTGTATGTGAAGCTCCCATCTTGTTGGCACACCCCATCAGCCCCTGGCAGCTTCACTCAGGCTGGCTGAGTGACAAGTCCTACAAGCCAGACCACCTGTAGGCCGTGGTCCTCTGGGGGCATAGAAGGCCAGGACCTGGAGTGCCACTGCTCCTTAGCCCTGTCCAGATGCAGCTGCTGCAAGAACTTATTTTTTTGAAACAGGTTTTTATTTGAGAGGCAGAGTTAGAGGGAAGGAGAGGACACAGGGAGATAGATCTTCCACCCACCGGTTCACTTTCCAAATGGCCACAACTGCCAGACAGGGCTGGGCCAGTTCAAAGCTGGGAGCTTATTCTGGGTCTCCCATGTGGGTGCACGAGCCCAAGCTCCTGGGCCATCCTTTGCTGCTTTGCTAGATGCATAAGCAGGGAACTGGATGGGAATTGATATAGTTGGGACTTGAACCAGAACACTCATGGGATACCAGCATCATAGGCAAAGGCTTCACTTGTTATGTTATAGCACTGGCCTCGGCTTCAAAGTCTTTTTTTTTTTTTTTAAGATTTATTTATTTTTATTGCAAAGTCAGGCATATACAGAAAGGAGGAGAGACAGAGAGGAATATCTTCCATCTGATGGTTCACTCCCCAAGTGGCCACAACGGCTGGAGCTGCGCAGATCCGAAGCCAGCAGCAGCCCAGATCCTCTTCCGGGTCTCCCACACGACGCAGGGTCCCAATGCTTTGGGGGTGTCCTTGACAGCTTTCCCAGGTCACAAGCAGGGAGCTGGATGGGAAGTGGGACTGCTGGGATTAGAATAGGCACCCATATGTGATCCCAGCATGTTCAAGGCTAGTACGTTAGCCACTAGGCCACGGCGCCGTGCCAGGCCCTGCTTCAAAGTCTGAGAACAGACTAATTAGTTTCATCAAAGTCTCAGCCATGCTGATCCACTGACTTTTCTAGTGCCAGCTTATAATGCAGTCTGATTGTCATATAAAACGGAAGCCAGGCAGGGTCTCTGTTGAGAGGGAGATATGGGAATGAACTGGCTGGGACTCCAGGAGGCTCCTCTCACCAACCTTCTCCTCCCATCCCTGGCTTTCCCCCACCCCTGTTAGGAAGGCTCTCCTGGCACGCAGGAGGGAGATACCTGTATACCTGGAGGGAGGGGCTCAGCCAGGCCCCTGAGCTAAGCCACCTGTCTCGCCAGTTCCCCCCCTTCAAGGGGCAGGAGCTAGGTCCTCCGCTAATTTGGGGGGATCTGTTTGGTTTCAGTTAAGCAGCTTCTTTAGGCCCCTTGCTGCCAAAGGAGATGGGAAAAGGATGAGTGGTGAGGGTGTACTTTTGCAGGAGCCAGAGCTCCGTACAGGAGGCGCGAGGTGGGGAGTGAAGGGAGGGTCCCTGGGCCCCAGGTGCCCATCAGTGACCTTAATGGCCTGGTGCTGGTTCAGGCTGCTGGGCCTCACCTTCCTTGTGGGAGCTCGGCTGTGGTCCTAGGCGTCTGAGCTCTCTGGGTGTTTCCCTGCAGCGCTGTCAGTGCTCATCTTCATCGCCCTGGCTCTGAACGGCTTTGGCGGGATGTGCATGACCTTCACCTCACTGACGGTAAGCAGCGATTTGTGTGTTTTTTAAGATCTCTGCTGTATGAGCTGCTTTCACCAGCTTCCTTTTCCTTGTGTTCCCCTCATCACGTGTGCCAGGACATCTCAGGCAGCGTGGAGAAGGGGCCTGGAAGCAGAGCCAATTACAGCCTCTGCCACCAGGTCCTGCAGGCGGCAGTAGGCTCGTCCCCTGCCTTCTGGTTTTTGTCCTGCACCCTGGGGAGACAGCAGCCAGGAGAACAAAGAAAGGCACTGCCCATTCTCTGTTCTCCTTTTTTGGGGCAGCTGTCACCACAGTCTCCAACAGAGCAAACTGAAAAGCGGCCTCCCTCAGCTGAGCCTGCATCCCTTGTGGCCTGGGGGGGCCATGTGCTGTCCCCTTCTCGGCTGCCACATGCAGGACACACACAGCCTGCAGGGCAAGGCCTGCAATGTCTCCTTGGGATGGTGAGCCCCACCCCTCCTAGAGCTCTGGGATGCCACAAAATGTGCTGCCTTCTTTAAAAAAAAATGTGTTTTTGAAAGAGAGAGAAACTAAGGTCTTTCATCCACTGGTTCATTCCCCAAATGGCCACTAAAGCTGGGGCTGTGCCAAAGCCAGTAGCCTAGGGCTTCATTCGTGTCCACCCTGAAGATGGCAGGGGCTCAAACACTTGGATCTTCACATGCTGCTCTCCCAGGTGTGTTGGCAGGGAGCTGGCCTGGAAGCAGAGCAACTGAGACTTGAACTCGTACTCTGATACACCATGCCTGCGGCACAGGCTGTGGCTTACCCTGCAGTGCCACACCACTGGCCCTGTGATATGCTGCTTCTTGCAATGGGGAGGCTGAAGGCAGGCGCTGCTTGAGAGCAGTCAGGTCAGAGGAGGGACACAGAGAGCTTCCCAAGAGAGGAGAGAGGAAGGTTGCTGTCTGCCAAGGTGCTACTCAGAGGTGGCTGTTGGGTAAGAAGTAAGAAAGGTGCCCAGTGTTAGACAAGGGAAGCTTTCCCCTTGCTCAGTGTTTAAGGCAGCACCTGCGTCTGTCATCCATGGTGTGCTGTGGTTTCTGAATTCTCACCCTGCTGAGGACTCCTGGCCTGCTCAGAGGCCCTCCTTTGACTCTCTGGACCCTTGGGACTTTGGTCCTCTTGCAGGCTGCTGGGGGTGATGCCAGCATCTTCATGAGCAGGAAGCCAGGCCTGGCCCAGTGCTTTTCAAATCCCCCTGCATGTGCCCTGCCTTATGGGAAGGATCAACTGAGTCTGGACCCGTGAACGTGGAAGGTTCGTTGTGTATGTGGGTGAGAAGAGCTGTGTGGGCAGCTGTGGGTTTGCGGGGGTGTGCGCAGCCCTGAACTGAGTACTGTGCTCCTTGGGGCATTGTGAGTCCATGTTCAGCCGGGTCAATGGAAAGGGAAAATGGGTGTCTTCCTCCTCTCATGTCTGCAGCGGCAAGCAGATGTTGAAATTGAAAGAGATGTTTACACTGTCAGAAATGCACAAATTTCAGTGAGGGAGTAAGTTGTGAAACAGGAATCGTGGTTCTCTTTGTTCTTGGAGAACATGAGAACTGCTGACTATCACCAAGGTAAATAATGCAAACTTGGCATTTCCCAACACACTGGTCACACTGGGCCTCTGTTATAGGAAAGGAGAGACAGAGAGAGATCCTCCATCTGCTGGGTCACTCCCCAGATGGCTGATGGCTGCGATGGCTGGAGCTGGGCTGATCAGGAGCCACGAGTTTCCTCTGGGTCTTAATGTCTTGGACCAGGCCTGAGACAGGATTCCAGAATCCATCTAGGCTTCTTGCATGAGTGGCAGGGCCCAAACACTGAGCCATCATCTGCTCCATCCCAGCATGCACCACCAAGAAACTGGATCAGAAGTGGAGGAGCCACTTGAACTGGCATTCCTGTGTGAGGAGTCCCAAAAGGCAGGTTAACCTGCTATGCTATAGCATCTGCTGCTCTAGATAGGAGCTTATGGTCTGAAATGCAAAAAGGTGCTTTGTCATGGTGAAGTATGAAACAGATGGGGGAAAGCACCCTGCTGTGGGGCCCCTTAAAAAAGCCTTGAGGACCCTCGTGATAGAGTAGTGGTTAAAGTCCTCTCCTTGCACACCCGCGATCCCATATGGGTGCCAGTTCTAATCCCGGCAGCCCTGCTTCCCATTCAGCTCCCTGTTTGTGGCCTGGGAAAGCAGTTGAGGACCCTGCGCCTGCATGGGAGACCTGGAAGAATCTCCTTACTCCTGGCTTCGGATTGGCTCAGCTCCAGCCATTGTGGCCACTTGGGGAGTGAACCATTGGATGGAAGATATTCCTCTCTGTCTCTCATCCTCTCTGTATGTCTAACTTTCCAATAAAAATAAATAAATCTTTAAAAAAAAATAAAAGAAAGAAAGAAAGCCTTGAACCTGAACTCGGCAGAGACTAACAGGCCATAGTGGTTCTTTGTCTCTTTTCATTTTTTTATGATTGTGAAATTAAAATGATTTCACTTGAAAAATTTAAAATTTAAAATTTCAGAAATAAAGATTATGGATTATAAAGTTATGTAACAGTACCTTAATCAATTTGGAATATGTCCTTTCAACATTTTTTAAATCTCTTTTTCTTTTTCTTTTTCTTTTGAACTGTTAAAACTTGCCTTTTCACTTAATGTATCTTTTGCACCTTTTCCTGTTTGTACTTAGAGAGTTGCCTTGTTTTCAAAGACTCTCACGAGCTGCCTGGTTGTTAAGCATTGCATATTAGTCTGGCATATAGATGCACCATAATTTATTCAACCAACTTCCTACTAATGGACATTCTGGTTGGCTTCCAATTTCTCCAGTTTATGAATGCTGCTGAAGCACGTCTCCTTGTGTCTGCACTGCTGTGCAGTAAATTCCTGGAAGTGGAACTGTGGGCCACAGGATCAGCACAGTTGAAATGTACTGTATGCTGTCACAAGGCCTTCTGGAAAGCTCATACGCTGCTCCAATGTGACCAACATGCTCTTCCAGTGTCCCACATGCATCCTTTGAACATTTGATCTGGTGAAAAATGAGACACTGTTATTATTATTATAAGGTGTATATTTTTGTTTGAAAGTCAAAGCTACAGAGAGGAGAGACAGATCTTCCATCTATACCGGGGTGCACTCCCCCAGGTGACCTCAATGGCCAGGACTGAATTAAAGTGAAACCAGGAGCTAGCAGCTGCGTCTGGGTTTCCCATCTAGGACCTCAGCACTCGGTCCATCCTCCGCTGTTTTTCCAAGGCCAGTAACATCGAGCTGGGTTGAAAGTGGAGCAACCAGTACACAAACTTGTATGGGATGCTTTACCAGCTACGCCACAGAACCAGCTGCAATATCTTGAACATTCTTTTACGCATCAGCGACAGGGAACATCTTTTCATCTCCTTGTTTATTCATATTTCTTTTTTTTTAAAGAATTTTATTTATTTTTATTGGAAAGTCAGATATACAGATAGGAGGAGAGACAGAGAGGAAGATCGGAGAGACAGAGAGGAAGATCTTCCTTCCGATGATTCACTAACCAAGTGAGCGCAACGGCCGGTGCTGCGCCTGTTCGAAGCCAGGAGCCAGGAACCTCCTCCAGGTCTCCCACTCCGGTGCAGGGTCCCAAGGCTTTGGGCCGTCCTCGACTGCTTTCCCAGGTGACAAGCAGGGAGCTGGATGAGAAGCAGGGCTGCCGGGATTAGAACTGGCGTCCATATGAGATCCTAGCGCGTTCAGGGCGAGGACTTTAGTCGCTAGGCCATGCCGCCGGGCCTGGTTATTCATATTTCTTCTGTGAGTTGCTTCTTTTTGTCATTTGTCTATTTTTTTAATCCTTTATCTCTTTTAAAAAGTGATTTGTAAAAATTCTTTCAAGTATAAAGTGGCTAGCTCACTTTCTGAATAAGCAGGAAATTTACCCTATAATTTTTGGGGCACTTTGTGATCCAGGAGGGTTCATGACTCTACCTTCAGCAGGGCTGTGTGCCACCTTGAAATTGTTTGTATTCGTTTGAAGTGAATTTAATAAAATGCTGGAAAAAAAATATAAAATAGTAGTAAAAAGACATCGTGAAAAAACAATGATGTATGTGTAGGATACTTAAGAAATTTCTGAAAAATACCCATTATGAAATAGCTGTGCGTGAATTTCACAGTGCTTTTGCCTCAAGACAAACACCTTAATTACATATTTTTGTGAGCTTTTCAAAGTCCCCTGGTATGTGTAGTTCAAGTGCATGTCTCTGGTGGGAGAGGAGCCCTGCTTTTGTCACCTTCCCCTAGGTCTCTGTCACCCATGGCGGCAGGTGCACTGCTGTCCGTAATTCCTGGTTCTCCCACTGGGAGATGGAAGGCCATGTGGGCTGGATGGAGAAGGGGCAGGAGAACGTGGGTCATAGGGGACCTTTTCAGGGAGGCCTGGGGCTTATCCTTGAGGTCCCTCCTGTGGGATTTGGAGCAGGAGGCAGCGAATTGCCACTCCCAAGCCACGTTCAGACCACTGGTTGTCCTTGTAAACAATATGTTGCCAGAACACAGCCTTGCCTAACTGCTCACGTGTTGTCTGTGGTAGCTATGACCAAAGACCATGTGGCCTGCAGTATTTACTATACAGCCTCTGGCCCTTTATGGAAAAAGTTGGCTGGCCTTCTGTCTGGGCTCTAAGAAGCTGTCAGTCACTTCCTGTGCAAGGACTGGGACTGACACGCACCTGCTCACTCCCTCATTGTCCCCACTGCCATCTAAGCACTTTCCAGGTCATTCCTTTCCCAGCCCCTTCCTGCTGCTGCCTGGAGGGAAACCCTAGGACATCCTCCTGTCCTGCCAGGCCTCCAGTGAGGGCTCTTCTGAGAACAGATGCTGGGAGGGGAACCAGAAACTGGTCAGCAGGGCCAGGCTCGGTGCTCTTGGGCAATGGCCTCAGGCTGGCTGGAGCTTCTGCTGAGCAGAGCTGGATCCACTTCCGGCCCAGCCCAAGCCTTTAAAAAACAGAGCCCCAGGGATGAGTGCCCAGG